ATTTTTTCATTCGGATTTTCATGTCCATTTAATATGTAGAAGATACGCTTCTAAGTTTTCTGTTTCTGGGTCACCACCTGTACCTTCTCTTCTTGCTAAATTGCACATAATACAATGAGCCAGATTCTACCCATTTTTATTGTATTTGTTATATAGCTATACAATCTTCTTACTTTAAGAGAGAAATGAACTGTACTTTTGTATGGTTAATTGTATGCATTGTAAATTTCAGAAAAGTAGTTTATTTTTCATATTTAATCAAAATAATAATGGGAAATAAATTCATATTCATATTCAATGCACATTGAGAATATTTAATTTCTATTGTGGTAGAAGGGTGCATTATTTGTTTCTAGCACAATGAATACAACCTACATATTTTTCTGGCTTAAAGCAACCTGACTCCATCCTTATCCCTCTTCAGTGTTATTCAGTAACTCTCAAATTTAAATTCAAAAAAGAGTCAAATGTACCTGCCACAGTTAAGTAAGCTCAGAGAATTTTCAAATCAAACCAATATTCTGGCAATTAGTTAAATTAACATAAAGCATCATTTACATGAATGTTGTGAATGTTTCCTTTCCACACTGATAATAGATAATTTAAAAAAAATTACTTCATCAATTGTAAATAAATATTACAATTAAATATTACCATTCTTAGGTTTATTGTCTCTGGGATGAAAACTAGTTCTGTGTCTGCCTGATATTCTTTTCACAATGATGTCTTAGTTCTCGCCAGGATTTCTGAAGTCTATCTTAGATAAAACTCCAGTTTACGTACTTTTGAATGAAGCTTAGTTAGCTGACTGGAGAAAATTGCAGAAAAGGACTTTCATAAACTTTTTAATGTTGAGCTCTTAAAGTTTAGTTTTAAGAATTTACTAAGCATCATTCTAGTACAAGATCCTTTGAAAATATTGCAGAACAGAATGGTGTTAAGAGAAATGACAACATGTCAACACAGTTGAAAGAATACAAAAAAAAAAGAAAAGAGGTGTGAACTTAGTATCAAGGACTAGTATTACTTATACAGTAGGTATTTCTTTCTATTGTTAATAATAAATATTTGTATGTGCATCCCTAGTATCCCTATGATGTTGAATTTCATTAAATTTCTGCATTAATTCATGTTTTTAAAATATTTTCAGTTTTTATTAGAGGTGTCCCGTGATAGAGTCAGTTTTGCTGTCTTCATGCAAAATTTTGGTCAACAAATACACAAAATATAGATTTTGTCTTAAGAAACAGTTTTATGGTTACCTAAAAATAAATAAAAATGTGGAAATAAAAAAATAGTCACTTTTCTTGGAAGTCATTTTGTTTTGAAGTCATTTGGAAAGGAAAGGTAGACTGACTTACTTTTTATAAAATACATGGTAAAACTGGATCACTGTCATCTCTTTCTCCTAAAATTAGTGCCCTGAATCTTTATACAGTTGGACATACAAGTATTTGGAGCAGTCTTTGTGGTTTCACTCCATCTTGTTGACAAGTAATCATTGTTTGAACAACGTAGTCTCACTGAAGTGAACTACTTTGAAGTGGTTGCTTGTAAAAAGAGGGTGGGAAGCAGAATCGGATTCCTGCCTATGGTAGCATTTTGATATTTTAGATGATACTCTATCATTTCTACCTCCCCTTCAGCAAATTATTGCTTAATTCAATAATTGCTTAGTTTGTGTTTAAAAATATTGAAGCTAGATATTCAGCCAGGCATTTCCATCCATTTTAACTTAAGATGCGGAGTTAAATCCTCCACATTTTAAAATAATATCAGTACATACATGTCTGCCCCATTTCTTAAATGAAATTAAGATATGCACAGCAGTGATGATGGATTCAAGTTATTAAAGCAAATGTTTTACTGTAATGCAGCGAAGTATTATTGTAAGTACCATTTGTTTCTAATTTCCTCTTGATGTGAGGTTGTTATTTGGCACATTCTGGTACTTGCAATCTGTCCTTGCCTATCTTTTTCTTTCCAAATGTAAACTGAGTTTGAAATCAAATCAAACAGTACTGAAATAACTCTACTGTGACACCACTGTTAAGTTGTCAAACAATTCTAGATGCAGTGAGCTAACAGAAAACACATGTTGACACCATTGTTTGCTCTATGTGGGTCTTCACTGGCAGAATAAAATTTGTATTTTGACCTTCCAGTGTTGGCAAAAAATTACTCTTTCAAGGATATTATTATTAATAATAATCCAAAAGTTCTGCTGTTTGACTCTTTATTTCTTCTCTCTGTTATCTATGTACAATTATTCAGGGCTATCTCCTAGAAATTCAAGAAAAGACACAAGCAAAAGCTGAAAATAGCATATGTGTGTGATAGAAATGTGTCTGTGAATACAAGCTGGTTATCCAAGAATTGAAGAGAATAGTGGATTTTAATTTCCCTGTTTACAGAAAGCAAACCTGGATCTACCTTCATTGCCAAATTTCTAAGTAATCTCGCCACAAAATGTCATACAATAAAATTCTTGCAATTTTTTAATATTATATTTTGCTGTAAATGTAAACCAAATGTTTCCATGGAAACTAGGCATTTTCCCATTTGTATACAATTTTTCTAGCTTCTTGGTAGGAAAAGAGAGTTCTAATTTAAATTTTATACATTTTGATGGCAGCTGAGAATTGATACCTAATTTTCTGATAGCATAGCTCAAAGCCACACTTACATACCTTACTGTGTATGTTCAATCTATCTTTTTGCTCTAACAGAAAGAAGCAAGCTGACATAAAATTTATTTTACTGTTAAAAATATTAACCTAAATAGAAGTACAGATGACATCATTATGCAAAGTAGAGAATACAAATTAATTTAAGTGCATCAGGGAAAAAAAATCTCAAACGTCTGCATTTTAATTGTAACCAGGGCTGGATTTCAGTGTTGAACAATTAATGATCATTACATCACTTTAAAATATCAGTGGGAGAGTGTCAAAGAAGATGAGTCTTCCATGTTTACAAAAGATTTTTCCTGTGGCACACTGTGTGCCTTTGTGAGTCATTTATCTTGTAGCTTAAACCTGTCATGCTATGAAATATTGCAACTGTGATTCTTCATGACAGAATAATGAAACAGTGGAAAAAAAGTCCACTCTGAAATGACTTTTCCACAGAATTTTTGACTTGAGAACCTGGGAAGCTGCAGATGAAATAGCTTTTCTTTTCACCACATCAAAAACTAATCCAGGCCAATGAGTTCCCTTCTACACACTAAATATGCTATTCCATTGTTTGTGGGTTTTTTCTACATTGACCTGGTTTTAGGTTTTTTTCCCCCCAAACTGTTCTTTGTTATAAGATCTCATATACTGTATTGGATGCCGAAATAGTTTGTGAAGAGCTTCCATTCAGCAAATATTTGATTGCTATATTTCACACTGGAGGTTGGAGCCACAGAGAAGATTATGGAAGATTTTTTGCTGTTTTCTTAAGGAAAATTATCTTATGTCAGCAGCTTTGCTGGAGTATCCCTTCATTCTCAAAAAACCTGGTTTGACTTTTTGTTGTTGTGAATAATCTCTGACAAATTTACACGTTGTGATATATACTAGTAGATGAGTTGAAGATGTTATGTGGTATCTTTTTCCACAGCATTTTTTGGTGACCATTTTGTCAGTGAGGGATCCCTACATATCAAGAATTGCAAGTGAAAACTCTTGTCCTCATGCAATGTCTTCTATCAGGACCCAAAACAACAGAGTTATAGGTAATTATTTTAAAATTTCGGACTGAGACAAATAATTATATTGAATGCAAAAAAAGGTCATTTAAATCAATTGCCAAAATGACTTTGACTTTCTCAATGGTTGTTACTGGAATAATTTTAGTGATGATAGATGAGAGAAAGATCATAGGTCAAAAGAAATATTAACCCCTACACCATTGTACAATTCAAAGAAAGATTTGTATTTTAAAATTTGAGCTTTTGGGTGCAAGGAATACTACTTCTGATTACTGTAGGAGTATCACTGGGAAAACAGCATCTAAAACGGAAATATTTGTTTTGGTACTTGTTTCAATGCATCATGTCACTCTCATTTTTGACTGGCAGGTATTTTTTTTACCTTTCTCCTTCAACACACAGGCATTTTTGTTTTCTGTATGCACAAAAGTGGATGAAAAAAATTATATATTCTACAGGTACCTGAACTAATTGTCAAAATACACTTTTTAAATACAAGAAAAAGAGTAAAGGTCCATCCTGAGATAGGGCAGATAGTCTATCTTTATCATATTTCAAAATATGTCACTGAATTCTTGTATATTTTGATGGAAGTGGGAGGACATAAACTTTCCAGTTTATCTAAAATGAATTAGTTACATCAAAAGCACAAGCTTCTAACAGCTAGAAATAAATCAAGAATTGTACAAATGTGTTTAATTTTTCCTTAATATTCTAGAGGAATAAGAATAGATTGCCATGACTTAGGAGACAGTACTTTTAAAAATTTATTTATTTTGTAGTAGCCTATGCACCTCTACGCTATCCATAAGAACAAAATGATATTCAGTATGTGGCATACTGCTTACCAAGAAGTCAAAGTGAACAACCATCAACTGTTATCCTAGGCATTGTTTCATAATAAAGTGAGATAAAATAATTCATAAATCCAGAGAGATACAACAGTGCTGTATAAGTCCTGTCTTTGTGTGGGACAGAAGACATAGTTAAAAATTTTGTCTAGTTAGAAGAAAATGTTACTATGGGAGTAAACTTTTAATGGAAGATCTGATAATCTACAAAAACCAGGCAGACACATGCTGCTCTAACCTCATTTGTCAGTAAAGAGAAATTCAGAAGATAATGATAAATATAAGCATTTAGAGAAAATAGAGCACTATAAAAATGATAAAATGTTAACAGAAGTATGAGTTTAAAACAGCTTTTTCTCATTGATATTTTTTATGTAAAAGCAACCATACAAATCATCCAGAATGTATCTAAGCAACAAAAAGATAGGAATGAGACCGAACCTACTTACCAAATTCCTTAGGAACAGTGATAGAGTAAACACAATTGTGACCAACACTATAATTCTTGGGGTAGTTTGGTGATAATACAGTCCCTTCAGAGCCTGTTGACCGACTTCCACAGGGTGCTGGAAAGTGAAGGAAATCAGTTTTTGATAATGTAATATTATATATATAAGAAAATCAGTTTAAATTGATTTTTTTTGTGTGTTGGTATATGCTGTTGCAGGAAATTTTATTACACTTCTGCACTGGATTAAATTTTTGCATCCTGTGACACACTGAGAATGCGCAACTTTCTCATATATCAAAAAAGAATTGATGGCGCTCTGAAGTTTTCCAGATCAATTTTTTTCTTTACTCTTTATCAACCATCTTAATAAATAAATGATGTGCTTTATACATAGTATGCTATTATTTACAGCATACGAAACTATTATTCATTCATATGATGCTTTACACTGCAATAAAACATAGATTCTGCAGCCCTTCTGCACACTGGTAAATTTTTACTCATGCCAATAGACTCATAATTCAAAATAATATCTACAACTACCGAAATAGGAAAGTCAGGATTCCTTGACTGACCATGATGTACCACTTATTTATATCCCAATTACTTATAACTATATATATAAGGTTATGAGCACACACTTTTCTTTATCACACAAACATCATGTTTATTCTACCATTAACAGCTATAATACTTGATAAAATGGCAGATAAATAATGATGCTATTTACCACAATAATGTATTTTTCTAAGGTTTACAACAAAACTTAGTATTTGTCATTATTCAATACTGTCAAAGTAGAAACAGTGCTATTTCTTCTTTTCTTCATCAGATGCCCGAGTGATCATTCAATGTTAGCGTTTTCCTATATCTATGACCTGCTTCTCACACACACATAGTGATTTAGGAGTTTATTGTCTAGACTGTGGCATACCTTTGGAATATTTTTCTAACTGTTTTGGAATATAAAACATTTTTTAATTAGTTTAGTGCTAACTTATCTATTTAACAAATTTATTTCCTGTTGAGACATGAATTTATAAATAAAGTAGCATTCAATGTTTCATTTGCTAAACACATTTGGGATTTTTTGTGGTATTCTCTCAAAACATTAATATGTTGTGCATTATATTAAATAAGAAAAGGTGGTTTTCTTACTATTATTGCAGAAGGTTTTATCTCATTACTTGTCATACTATAAATACAAGATATTTCTTAGTGTAGCTATATATCATGTGTTTTAAGACTACTTAATTCATACAAAATGTTTTGTGGAGTATACCATGAAAAGAGTACATCTTTAAAATGTAGCAGCTTAAGGCCCCATCACTTTGAGAATGGATTTGTGCAATTTGCATTAACATGGATTCCTTTCAGTATGGTGTAGCTGCAGAGTTTGACAGACCATACCTGAAACAGGAGCAGATGGCACCTATTGCTCCAGTCTGTACACACAATTTGGAAATGATTTAATGGGCTAGTGTGAAAGTCATTATATTTGAAATATGTCAACAGAAGGGTCTCAACTTTTGCATGCACAAGTGTGTGTAGATGCGGCACATACGTTAGAGTTAAGCAAATCAGTCAGGGCCCAGAGCGGGACACAGTGCTCAGTACGGTGGATAGGCACACTCCGAGACACGAGTGAGCACCAAGACTATCATATGTACACAGAATATTGTTCTGAGGCTAAAAGAATTATCTAAGTGTCTTCCCTCAGTCCACCATCATGTAAAATATCAGAAATTCATGCTTTCCTTTGAAAACATGTTTAGATAATAGAACTATTGGACTTTTTGCTAAAAAGTAGTAAGAATCTTAGCTGACCCTCATATGCAGAGACTTATTTGCCTTGAGTTACTGGAAAAACACAAAGTAGAAAATCTTCACTACTTGAATGTGGCAGATAGTTCTGATGAAATCAGATCTGCTTACCATCTTCTAAGTACTCAAGATTTTCTATTCCAGATTTTGGATGAAACAGAAGAGAATATGGAAGAATATAAGCAACAAAAGCATTAAAATAAGTGAAATAAGACTGTCAGAAAAGCTTATTACTTATCTCTAACTCCATTTCCTTACTGTTTATGAGTTGCATAAATAAGCCACTGCAACAGACCAATAACACTGTCCCATTCCAGCAGTCATATCACTATTATACTTTCCTAATCCGCAGATATAAATAATGTGTAAATTTAAGGTAAAACTATGATTCCACTAAAGTTAAGGCCATTAAAACAAAAATGGACAGAATTTCATCTTTAATGAAACTTGAAGTCATGTCACACAAAAACAATACTTAAAGTTAATAGCTATGTATTTAGTTCTCAAAATATAGCAGACCTTCCTGTAAAGAAAAATAAAGATTTTTTTTATACCCTGATTCTTTCTTATTCTTACAAGCTATGAAGTTAATAAAGGTATCTTCTTAATTGTAAAAGAGGGTTTTTACAAAACTACTAGTATGCTTAAACCAGAGCAAAATATATTTACCTGTGTACATATCTAGACAAAATATTTCATGATACTTGAAAAGTGGTATTATCACAGCTGGTATAAAGAAAAAGTCACAAAAATAATTTCACTGACAGATGCATATAGATCTCTAAAAGGGATTAAACTCAACAATTTTTACAAATTAAAAAAAACAAACCAAACCAAGCGAAAAAAACCCAAACAAACAAACACTAAAAAACCCCACAAAACCCAAGCCAAACCAAACCAAACCAACCAACCAACCAACCAAACAAACAAAAAACCAACCACAAAATAAGACCTAGCACCTTTAAAAATCTGAGAGTTCTCATTTATGTTGATGTCTGGTAAAAATAACTTAAGAGTCTCTAAAAGGTGAAGATAATACCATTTTCTTTTACAGTTGATAATCATGTTTATATGAAACGTTCAAACATCTAAACGTTTTCCCCACACACTGAATTCCATGAAAGAAACATACATCTGCACTGGATTTATAGTGGGCATATATCCGTTCACACAAGAGAATCTGGCACAGAGCTGTTCACACAAGAGGAGAAGAGATGAAGTGCAAGTCTGGAAGCAGGATTTCCAGCAGGGATCTTTCAGGTACAAAGACTCTCAACAAGAGGTGTCTGCAGCCTTTACTACAATGTGCTCAGTACAGATTGGAGTAAGGCATGAACTATTTGTCACTGTGACATATGCAACATTTAGTGTGCAGCAAGAACAAAATACCTGCATTGAGTATTTCATAGTAATTTCTTATTTGGTCTTCTCATTCTAGACTTTTTCCCTCTGCCCCTTCTGAGTTTACTTTTTCCCTCACTGTCTTATTTTCCAACTGCTTCTATAATGGCTCTTTACCCTCACAAGAATTCACATTTCTGGGTCTCAAAAACAACTAGTATAAAGGAAACTTGCTTCAAGATGTAAGCGTCCAGTTGACCTTTGCAAGCTGAGAAAATGTTTATTCTTAAATCTATAGGTGGTAAACCATTAAGTTCTCATAGCAGCCAGACTGGCCTGCAAGACATTTCTGAAAGTATTTGTGGGAAGGAAGAGGTTTGCTTGATATTTTAGTAAACTCATAGATTTAACTGACTATATTTCCTTTCTTAGGCAAGCACGGTGTTGGAAACTGCAACGATAATGGTCAACTTCTGCTAGAATTCTGTGCGGAGCAACAGCTCACCATCACTAACACCATCTTTCAGCAGAAAAATAGTCTGAAGACAATCTGGATGCATCCTAGATCTAAGCATTGGCACCTCATCGATTATGTCTTGGTGCGACAGAGAGATGTCCACGATGTCCACCATACTCTCGTGATGCCTAGTGCAGAATGCCAAACAGATCATCAACTTGTGAGCTGTAAACTTAACTTTAAACTCAAGTTCAAACCCAAAAGGGGCAGTATCCCAAGGAGAAGACTCCAAGTTAACAATCTCCAATCAGCCACAGTGAGAGACAGATTCCAGGCAAATCTTCAAACTAGGCTCGAAAACCATTCCATAGATTCTGCAGATTCCTCTCCTGAAACAATTTGGCACCATATTAAAAACAGCATCCTGCAGTCCTCTGAAGAATCCTTAGGGTTCTCCTTCAAGAAGAACAAGGAGTGGTTTGATGAAAACAACAAAGAGATCCAGAAATTGTTGAAGGAGAAGAGAACTGCTCACCAAGCGCATCTTGCACTGCCATCCTGTCATGTAAGAAAAGCAGCCTTTCATCCTGCATGCGGCAAGCTCCAATAGAAACTCCGTGACATCCAGAACAAGTGGTGGGTCAATCTAGCTGAAAAAACTCAATTATGCACAGATACAGGTGATCACAGAGGATTCTATGAGGCCCTGAAAACAGCATACGGGCCTACATACCTGGTCCAAAGCCCACTACTCAGTGCAGATGGTCAAACACTTCTAACAGATAAAACCTCCATTCTGAATCGATGGTATGAATACTTTCAGACCCTTTTCAGTAATAGCCATGTAGTTCAAGACTCAGCAATTCAGTCCATCACACAACTACCAGTGAAGAATGAATTGGATATTGCCCCCACTTTAGGAGAAACCCTTAAGGCCATACAGCAGGTGAAAATTGGCAAGGCAGCTGGGGTTGATGGCATTCCACCCAAAGTCTGGAAACATGGGGGCCATGCACTCCATGCTAAATTTCATGAGTTTGTGGTGCACTGTTGGGAACCAGGCGAACTACCATCAGACCTTCGTGATGCAGACATCATCACTTTGTATACGAAGAAAGGAATTAAATCAGATTGCTCAAATTACCGTGGTATTACTCTGCTCTCCGTTGCTGGCAAAATCCTGGCAAGAATACTTTTGAACAGACTAATACCCGCTATAGCAGAAGGAATTCTACCCGAAAGCCAATGTGGTTGCAGACCCAACAGGAGTACCACAGACATGGTATTTGTTCTCAGACAACTGCAAGAGAAGTGCAGGGAACAGAACAAAGGTCTCTATGTAATCTTTGTTGACCTCACCAAGGCTTTCGATACTGTGAACAGAAAAGGTCTATGGCAGATTTTGGAACATTTAGATTGTCCCCCCAAGTTCCCTAAAATGATCATCTCACTCCATGAGAATCAGCATGGCCAAGTCAGATATGGCAACGCAC